CTGATGTCAAACTATACTACAAAGCCATGGTAATCAAAACAATATGGTACAAAATATCACTAATCAGGGAAATGCAAATTAAAACCACAAAGAGCTATCATCTCACACCTGTCAGAATGACTATCATCAATAAATCAACAAAACAGTGTTTTCGAGGATGCAGAGAAAAGGGAACCCTAGTGCACTGTTGGTGTGAATGCAAATTGGTGCGGCCACTGTGGAAAGCAGTATGGAGTTACCTCAAAAAGTTAAAAATGGATCTGTTTTAATACCCAGAAATTCCACTTCTGGGAATATATCTGAAGAAACTGAAAACACTGATTAGAAAGATATATGTGCCCTTATGTTCATTGCAGTGTTATTTACAATAGCCAAGATTTGGAAGCAGCCCAAATGCCCATTATTAGATGAGTGAATAAAAAAGTTGTGGTACATTTATACAACGGAATACTACCAGACGTAAAAAAGAAGGAAATCTTACCTTTTGTGACAGCATGGATGGACCTGGAGAGTATTATACTAAGTGATAAGCCAGTCAGAGAAAGATAAGCACCATATGGTTTCACTTATATGTGGAATCTAATGAACAAAATAAAGTAACAAAGTGGAGGAGACAGACTCATGGATACAGAGAACAGAATGACGACTGTCAGAGGGGTTAGGCCGCAGCCGTGGGCAAACTATGGTCCACAGGCCGGATCCGGCCCGTTTGAAATGAATAAAACTAAAAAAAAAAAAAGACCGTACCCTTTTATGTAATGATGTTTACTTTGAATTTATATTAGTTCACACAAACACTCCATCCATGCTTTTGTTCCGGCCCTCCGGTCCAGTTTAAGAACCCATTGTGGCCCTCGAGTCAAAAAGTTTGCCCACCCCTGGTAGGGGCTGAGTGAGAATGGTGAAGGGATTGAGAAAAGAAAAAAAGAAAGACTCATGGACACAGACAACAGGATAGTGATTGCCAGAAGGAAGAGGGGATAGAGGGAGGTAGAAGAGGATAAAGTGGGGATGAATGGTGGCAGAGGTGACTTGACTTTGTATGGTGAACACAACACAATATATAGATGATGTATTGTAGAATTGTATACCTGAAACTTATATAATCTTATTAACCAATGTTATCCCAAAAAATTCAATAAAAAAAATTTTAAAAAATTGGAAAGGAAAAATAAAATCATCTCTATTCAGAGAAGAGACATGATTGTCTTTATAGAAAATTCAAAAGAATATATAAAAATAACCTATTAGAACTAATAAGAGTTTTGAAAAGTCAATTTTTAACATGAAAAATCAATAGTATTTTTAATGTACCAGTGATAAACACTGGGGAATCAAAATTCAAAAAAAACTTACCAAATATAATAGGAGCAAAAACATTAGATATTTAGTTGTAAGTTTAAAAATATGTCTGAGATCTGAGTCTGAAAAACTAGAAAACAACTGATATTAAATAAGACTTAAATAAGTTGGAAAATATACCCTGTCAATGGATTGGAAAACTAAATAGTGTTAAGATTTTAATTCTCTTCAAATTAATCTATAGATCCAAATAATAGATTATTTGTAGAAATGAACAACATGACTTGAAATTTTGTATGGAAAGGCAAAGAAGCAGAATAACTAAAACAGTTATGAAAAAGAACAAGGTTGGGAGGACATATGCTACCTGATTTTCAGACATATTATACAGCTACAGTAATCTAGGATAAGCACATATATGAACAGAACTGGATAGATTGTTCAGAAATAGACTTACACATATACAGTCAATTGATTGTCAAATGATTCTGGAATAACTGGATATTCACTTGTAAAAAAATAAATAAGAACCTTGACCTGTATCATACTATTAACACAATATGAACCATACAATAGTTTTAAATCTAAGAGTATGAAGCTTCCCAAATACAACAGAGAACAATTTGTGACCTTGAATTAGGTGAAAGTTACTTAGGTACAAAAAGCATGATCCACAAGAAAAAAAATTGATAACTGATAACTGGAGTATATAAAAAAGTTTAAAGTATGATCTTTGAATGAAAAGCCCTGTTAGAAAAATTAAAAAGCCATCCACTTCCTTGGAAAAATTATTCAAAAAATTAAAAAGTATATTCCTTTATCTAATAAAGGATCTGAAGCAAAATATATATAAAGAACTCTCAAAATTCAGCAATAAGAAAGAAACCCAAATTTTAAAATGAGCAAGATATTTGAATAAACACTTTATTAAAGGAGCTATATGAATATCAAATAGGCAAATAGGATGAGGTTATATAAATCACCACAAATTGTATGAGGTCATGCAAATCACCATGTGAAGTCATATGAGGAACCATCACATATTGGAATGGGTAAGATAAAAGAAAATAAAGAAAAAATAAAGAAAAACTGGCTGTACTAAGTACTGCTGAAAATGTGAAAGAACCGGAAATCTCATATAAATGCAGGTGGGAATACAAAATTATTCAACCTCTGTAAAGTGTTTGGCAATTTCTTTATACACTAACTGCATGACCCAGCAATCTCAAGAGAATCTAAGACATAAGTGCACACAAAAACCTGTGTGTGAATATTTATAGCTGCTTTATTCATAATGATCCTGAAAAGAAAATAAACTAAATATCCTTTAGCTGATGACTGGATTTAAAAGCTATGGTATCCTATATAATAAAAGGCTAATATGCAAATCGACTGAACAGCAGAACAACCAGTCGCTATGACACTCACTGACCACGAGGGGGCTCAATGCAGGAACTGCCCCCTGTTGATCAGTGTGCTCCCACAAGGGGAGCGCTGCTCAACCAGAAGGCGGGCTCACAGCTGGCGAGCACAGCAGCAGTGGTGGGAGCCTCTCTCTCCTCCGCAGCAGCGCTAAAGATGTCCAACTGATGGCTTAGGCCCGCTCCCCATCAGTTGGACATCCCCCGAGGGCTCCTGGACTGTGAGCGTGCGCAGGCCGGGCTGAGGAACTCCCCCTCCCCCCACCACTCTGAGTGCAGGATTTTCGTGCACTGGGCCTCTAGTATCTGTATAATGAAATCCCTCTTGACAATAAGAAGACATGAACTACTGGTACACGTAACTATGAATGAATCTCAAATGACTTCTGCAAGATTTAGATTTTCTAAGGCTACATAGCATATAATTACATTATATGACATTCTGGGAAGAGCAAAACTCTAGAGACAGAAAACATCAGTGGTTGCCAGGGCCTGGGAGTTAGGGAAAGGTTTGACTTCAAAGAACACAAGGGTATATTTTTTTGTGTGGTGAGAAACTATTCTACATCTTGATTGTGGTAATTTACATGACCCCATGCTATTGTCAAAGTAGGAGATGTCGATGGGGGAAAAGAGACATATGTGATACTTTCAACAATAAAGAATTTAAAAAACAAAACTCAGAACTATAAGCTAAAAGAGATGACTTTTCTTGCATGCAAATTATACCTCAATAAGCCTGACTTTAATTTTTAAAAAGATTTTTAGAAATCTGTTTGCTTGGAAAAATATATAATAAAGGTCAGAGTCAAGTAAATGAGAAAAAAAAATTATATAAGACGGAAGCACAACTACTTAAATCAAGATGGAGGGAACCCAAAGAGAGAAAAGGTTTTCAAAAAAAAATGACACTAATAAATTAGGGTTAAGGTGCTTTCAAAAGACAGCTTCATCCTGGCCTGAGAAGTCATCAAGGAACAAAGAAGCACAGAGTATCTTAAGAAATAGAAATAATTTCCAGCTGCTCTATAGCTGAGGCAACTGAGACAAGGAGCGTCGTATTCCGAACTCTAAAATGCGCCCCCCCCATTCAGGTCCCCTGCAGTACACACCCAGTATAATTTCTTCCACTTGAGTGTGGGTGAGACTTGTAAATATCGTGGAAATTCACTCCCATGATTAGGGGACTAGTCAGTTGACTCTGAGTTCATCAAAAGGAAGTTTATCCTGAGTGAACCTGCCCTAATCAGATTAGCCTTTCAAGGAGGGTCTCCTGCAGTGCGGTGAACTGCTTATGGAGGAGGTAAAGACCTCTAGGAGCTAAGAGGTCTCTAGCCAAGAGTCAGGGGGAAACAGGAACTGGATTATGCCAAAACCCAGTGATCTTGGAAAAGGACCCCAAACCTCAGGTCAGATCAAAGCCCCTAATAACACCTTGATTTCCTTTGGGAAGACTCTGAGCAGAGAACCAATGCCCAGACTTCTAATAATAAGATGATAAATGTTCCTTTAAGCCACTAGGTTCATGGCAAATTTGTCATATAGCAGTAGAAAACCAATTCAAAGAGTGAATTAAAATGTGCAAGCTAGTTTAATCAATGTGAATACTCTCCTGGTTGTGACTCCAATAGTTCTTCACCCAGGAGTAAGGCAGTTTTAATGACTTGCACTGCATGGAAAAGCGTTACAAAAGGTCACATCATAGAGAGAAGAGGTGAAGGCTAAGGGGATGACATCTCTGGAGAATAATCTCCCTCAATTCTGTTCAGTGGTGGCCAAGAGAGCCCAGCATAGACTAGTGAAGGGGCCCCTGGTCTTGTCTTATCATACATAGTAACTCACTGATCCCACAGCCTACCCTTCTCTACATCAAGGCCATGACTGCAACCATTCAAGTATGAACACTCTCCTCTCTGGGCTGAACACTCTCACACAAGTCTCCAGGGCCAAGAGTGACAACCAGGGAAGAATTCACTGGACTTTCTTAACACTTATTCTTAACACACTCACTTGTTAAGCTGGGCACCAGGAAGTAACCACTCAACTTTATAACCATAAAAGAAACATGAATCATTCCTGAAGCATCTTTCCATATAGGTTAAAATAGATAGCAGGAGTCCCACCCCACCCTAAAGAATACTATTTGAATTACAGGTTGCAGTATCTTGCAAATTTAAAAGAATTATAATCTTAATTTTCATAACATTATTCATTCTTTTACTCTCTAAAGTTGTTCATTTGAAAGGTCATATAATGAAAATAGCACAAATAACTTACCCTGTAACGTTTTAGTTTGATGAAATCAACTTAGAGACATCTATCTGAATTTTGACTGATGTTCTATAAGATCCGCACAAAACCTGTAACCTCCTTTAAGCACACACAGGATCCTAAGTTCACAGCATCCTACATATTCAATAATATCCTAGCCAGATGCTCAATTCTGAAAGAAGGAATGAAAAGATATATTAAAGCATAACTATTTCTGAATATTTTTGTTCCTTTTAGAAAAATGCATGATGTACTATACATATTAGATTACACAGGAAGATGTGGAGAAGAGCTTGGGAGACAGAAGCCTGCAGATAAAGCAGCTTTGTTCAAGTTTGACAAAGAGAGAGTGTTCAAAACATATTTCTGACAATTACATCATCAATAGCACATTGTTACTCCTCTGTGTCACAAAAATGATTAAGGTGTAAGCTATAAAGTCAAAGGTCATGGATGTTGTTATTTTATTACCACAGAGGCTGGTGGTTAAGCTTATGCTGTGATGGCATTTGCTGATAGTATGCTCACTTTATGGCATGGAGAAAGGAAATGGAGAATGACTCACCCACCTTGCAACATTAGAGGAGACTGGAAGAAAAAACCCTTAGTAACTATCAAAAGAATAACATTTGCCTTATATTTCACAAAGATTACACATTACCTATGTGAAAGGTGCCCCAGAGTACAGTTCCAGTAGCCACCATTTCCATGAAATGCAATGTGAATGATGCCTCGCGGAGTTATGCAATGATGTAACCTTGGGTTGGTACCCAATACCTAATTTGGAACTTTCATTGTATTTTCTTCTAATTGTTTCATGTCTAGAAATCCATTATTCATGCACGCATACAACATTAAAACCTACTGGCAACTCAAATAGAATTAGATTTAAAACAAGCTGAATGATCTGAATATATATAAAATGTTATATTATGAATGATTGACATATATTATGTAATTACATAATATATTTTATTTATTATATATATTTTTATCCCTTTTTTTAAAAATTATTTTAATTTAAAATTTTTTTAAATTACAGTTGACATGCAATATTGTATTAGTTTCAGGTATACAACATAGTGATCAGACATTTATATAACTTACAAGGTGATCACCCCCATAAGTCTAGTATCCATCTGACATCATACATAGTTATTACAATATTATTGACTATATTCCCAATGTTGTCTTTTATATCCTGGTGACTGTTCTTATAACTAGCAATTTTTACTTCTTAAACCTGTCATTTTTTTTGATCCCATTATAAATGTTTTATATAGTGTGTGTATACACACCCAGATCTACACTAATAAAAGAGAAAGATGTAAATTGACCATACCCCTGAACGCTTCCCATTGGCTAATCAGCAGGATATACAAATTAACTGCCAACCAAGATGGCGGCCGGCAGCCAGGCAGCTGAAGCGAAAAGGAGGCTTGCTTGCTCCAGTGACGGAGGAAGCCAATGTTCCCGGCCTGCAGCAGCCCAGCTCTGAGCTCCAGATGCAACAATGTTGCAATTATAGAAGCTAAACAAAGCCCAGATAGCTGCTTTCAGTCGTCAGCGGGCTCAGAGCTTAGAGCGCCAGTGGTGGCAACAGAGTTTCAATTATAGAAGCTAAACAAAGCCCAGATAACCTGCTTTCAGCAGCTGAGGCCTCAAGCTGGAGCCGGACTCAGAGCTAAAGCCGGCTCTCAGCTCTAGTGACAGCCATAGAAGGTAAATAAATCCCAGAATAAAAGAAAAAAAGGAGAGGTTGGGAGCTTCAGTCACCCGCCAGCCTGAAAACGGCCCTCAGCCCCTCATCCAGACTGGCCAGGCACCCCAGTGGGGACCACCCCCAGAAGCCTCAGCAGCCGGTCTTGCCTTGCACCCTGGGAACTGCAAATCAGGGGGTCTGGGCTGCAAGGCAAGGCCCGCCCCCAGAAGTCCCAGCTACTTTAAAAATAGAAGGATCTCCTTTTGAACCAATCTGTTTAGATTCATGATTAGTAAAACAGTATGGAACTAATGAAATACAGTGATAGGAATTAGGAAGTGTGACACTGATGGTTCTGGGCATGTGAAGGGTGAGGGAGAGAAGGGTACGCACGGTCTTCCCTTCAGTTCTGCTGGAGAGATGAGCTCCGAGGGTCCAAGCTGCTCCATGCCCAGAGGAGGTGGGTGTGGTCAGTGGCTCTGTTTCAGAACTTCTTGCCAAGCAGAGACCTTACCCGACCCACAGGAACCTTTTTACTCCAGAAAACAGAAACAGCCAGTTCCCAATGTGCATGGGAAAACCAGTGTCCCCTCCTGTGCACAGTGTCCTGATGGAGTGATGGGGGAGGTGGGCGAGGGGAGCAGGCAGAGTTGTTAGGCAGCTGGAGTGGGAATGGAAATGCCATGAAATGTCCACAGTCCTGGCTGTGCCCACGGCCTGGGCAGCTCCTCCAGGCACTGGCTGAGGGATTAGGGCTGATTCTCTCAGGAAGGGAATATTCCATGGGTGGAAGATTTACAGGCTCAGGGTGGGCCATGTGTTAGTTTGGGGCAAATCCCTCAGCATTCCTGCTGCCAAACCCTCAAAGGAATGAGGCAGAGGCACCCCTCACCCCCAAGACCCCTTCGTGGACATTTTAGTATCTTCGTGATTTTTAATCCCTTCAGGGAGACTTTCTATCCTGCAGTCCCATCCCACCCCAATGTTGCTGTTTGTCGGCCAGCTGGGTCGAGCATCAAGGGGAAAGGGGGTTAATACTCACCGAAAGACTACTGATCCTACCGGGAAACCAACCTATTTACTGTACTGTTGTAAATATCATACCATTTACATCCTATATATTGGCTTCTTTTAAATAAATTGAAATGTCTTAGAAAAAAAGACAAGGCAGGGTGGGACCCAGAAGCCCCAGAAGCCGCCTGATATGGTAGTAACTCTATCAATAAGCACTCTGAAAGTCAGTGGCATAAATGCACCAATTAAAGGACAGATTATGAGGGTGAATTAAAAACAAAACCCACTTTAAATATAAAGACACATATAGATTAAAAGTAAATGAATTAAGCTGCAGCCTGTTTTGCTCAGTGGATAGAGCATTAGCCCATGGACTGAAGGGTCCCAGGTTTGATTCCAGTCAAGGGCATGTTCCTCAGTTGCTGGCTTGATCCCCAGTCCCTATCAAAGCATGTGCAGGAGGCAACCAATCAATGTGTCTCTCCCTTTCCCTTCACTCTCTCTAAAGTTCAATGGAAAAATATCCTTGGGTGAAGATTAACAAAAACAAAGTAAATGGATTAAGTAACATTAAAGAAATTGTAAGAAAAATATATTCCAAATTCTGTTAGTTGTATAATGGTTATGTTTAAATTATTAACACCTAAGAAATTAGGTGAAGGATACATATAATATGCTGTAGTATTTTATAGTTTTTTTACATGTATGAGATTATTTCAAATTAAAATATTAAAAGTTTAAAAATTAATAAAATATTAATTGAAATGTATCTGCATTACATGAAAAATATCCTAATTGCTTCTAGCATAATTTATTAAATTGCGCTAAAATTTACAAGGGTTCAATTAAAAAATATCTTAATTCTAAATGATATAATAGAAAATGTATAATAGTGCAGTTATAAGCACTTATCTGAAAATACAAATTTAAAGAAGTGAATTTAAAGAAGGGATTAGCCAAAGAAAATATATGCACAACCCATGGACACAGACAACAGCATGGTGATGGCCAGAGAGAAGTGGGGGGGGGGGGGCAAGAGCTGGGGAGAGGGGGCAAAAGGGGGGAAATAGGGACATCCTATATAATAATAATAAAAGGCTAATATGCACATTGACTGAACGGCAGAATGACTGGTTGCTATGATGAGCATTGGCCACCAGGGGGCAGATGCTCAATGCAGGAGCTGCCTCCTGGTGGTCAGTGCACTTCCATATGGGGAGTGCCACTCAGCCAGAAGCTGGCTCATGGCTGGCCAGCGCAGTGGTGGTGCCAGGAGCCTCTCCCACCTCCGTGGCAGCACTAAGAATGTCCAACTAATGGTTTAGACCTGATCCCTTGGGGGCCTAAGCCTTTAGTCGGACATCCCCAAGGGCTCCCTGGCTGTTAGAAGGATGTATGACTGCAAGCTTAGGCCTGATCCCCTAGGAAGTGGGCCTAAGTCGACAGGTGGACATCCCCCAAGGGGTTCTGGACTGTGAATGGGCGCAGGCTGGGCTGAGGGACCCCCCCCCCCCCCGCCCCCGAGTGCACAATTTTTTCTGCACCGGGCCTCTAGTATACATATAAAATGTCAGCCATGGTTTCAGTTTCAAAATATGGTAACCAAAAAATGTACATCAGCATGCCAGATATTCTATAAAAAGGACATTTGTTTCCAGCATGATAGAATGAGGAGGTCAACATATCCTTTCCACAAACAGCAACTATATAGTTGTAAAAAACTATTAAAAACAACTACTTCACTCTGGAAATCAACCAAAGGCATATAACAAACTGAGAATCATTTATACATGAAAACATTGAACACTGGGTAGAAACAGAGCAAGTCTATGGATTCTTGCCCAAGAATGCTCCTATTGTGTTTCCTAGCTCCCCAACTCTGTTGCTCAACCAGGTAGTTCAATGAGGGTGAGGCACTGACAGAGGGAGCTTACCTGACATGTGAACAGGGAGGACCAATGACTCAATTTTTCAGTATTTGCAGTCCTGTTTGAGCAACTAACTGATTAGACCAGTCTGGGACTTGATAGAGAATTCCAGGGGATTGGAGTCATAGGAGAGAGCTACACAATAAACTCTTAGCATATCCCAAACTGGCAGAGCTATGTGTATGCACAGCAGAGTCTAGAGTGGGCCTAAGCTTCCTACATGTCCCTGGATGATGGAGCCTGTAAGCATGTTCGGAGGAAACCTAAGGAAGCCCAGGGGAATGTAAAAGGCAAGAAGACTTGAAAAAGGCTGGAAAGCTGAATGTGTTTGCCAACCCTTACACACATTCATCAGCAGAGTGGACGCCTTACTGGCTCAAGGTATTTAAGTACAATTTCTAACTAATCTAAGGCTGAAGTCTAAGCTATTTAGACAGAGGGGTGAACCCTAGCAAGTGAGGCTTAAAAACAAGAAAAATAAACTGCACATCATCAAAGACCAAACATGGT